TCACCGAATCACAAAAAGATGCAGACACACACGCTTACTTTTAACTGAATATCAAATTCATTTAGCCAAATTAGATTTGATTTGGACAAAAACTAAATAGAATATTTAGTAGTTATTTAGAAAAAAAATGGTATAAATTAAACTCCAAAGGATTACATAATTAAGTTGAAACTTTAAAAAATAAACATATATAAACTCCCCAATTTTATTTCTAATCTGATCTTTAATGAAATAAATAAGAATAATTCTTTTGGTTTGTGATTTCAAATTATTATATTTTAAAAACTTTTGAACCATGATTTATTCTTTAAACAAGCTACCTTTAGTACTAAATTGTTGAAGTCAATAAGTAAAACAAATATATATGAAATAAAACTACTCATTGAAAAATTTATTATTTGAAGCAGTCTTTATCTTTTTCTTTCTCAGGTCATCCTCACAAAATCCAAACAAATATAAAATTCAAAGTTTATTCATTTATTTAATACAGTAAAACCTTGTAACAACAATATTTTGGGGACCAAATTAATATATTGTTGTAGAGATATATAGTGATATATCGAGGGCCTACATACTTTGGGGACAGAAAAAGATTTTTTTCAATTTTAATGTCATACATGTATTAACCATAAATGTATTTATATATTACGCAAAAAATTAATTTTCAGAGTGTTAATTATGGCTAAATATTAAAAACAATTGTAAAAAATTCAGATCATAAACATAATTGAAAACCATTCTTATTGAAAATAATCTGATATTTTCGTTTGTTTATTCATTTTTTTTAGTGATGTAACAAATAGTGATGGGGCCGAATATTCGGACAAATTTTAGGCCGAATACCGAATATTCAGTGACCGAATACTTACTTTTTAAAAATTTCTCTTTTGATTGCAATTAAAGTAATTTTCAAATTTTAAATTAAAAATGAAATAAATATTAACAAAATTGCTTTTTTAATCTTTGTATATTTAAAAAAATTTTAACAACTTGATTTATTTTTTGTAATAATTTAAATATCTTGATGCCAATTACAAGGCAATATGGCTTTTATAAATCTAAATAATTAATAATAGCATATTTTAGTTATAGTTATACTTGTAATTTATATGCTATTTTATTTAAGATAAGAACTCATTACTTACTACTGTTAAATGTATTCTTAACTTTCTTTTTTGTCAGAAAAATTATTAAAACTCAGAAAATTACGAACTTTTTTAAAAGTTTCACTTTTGAAATTTTAAATTAAAAATGAAATAAATATTAACAAATTATTTTTTTTAAACTTTTTACATTTTAAAAAAAAATTAACAACTTGATGTACTTTTTGTAATATTTTATATATCTTGATGCAAACAATAAGGCTTTCACAAATCTAAATAATTAATAATAGCAGCATAATTAATAATAGCATATAATTCATTATTCGGCCGAATAACTTCAGTATTCAGCTAGGCTGAATATTCGGCAAAAGGGCCGAATATTCGTTACATCCCTAATTTTTTTGACTGTCAAGTTAGCCATCAAAGTATGTATTGGTTCCAAAGCACGAAAATGATTTTCGTTTGTGAATGGTGCACCACCCACTCTCTACAGAAAAATATTTCCTTTCAGGTGTTAATGTGATAGCTGTGGTCATTTGAGACACATGATCAGCTTTCAACATTAAAAAAACAACAAATCAGATAGGAATGTTACATCTGTGACTTCTTAAGAGATGAGGGAGACCATTCTAAGAATGGAAGCTCTTGGGGTGGTCAGTAGTGAGTCTTATCTTGTCAAAAAAGATGGAAAAAATGGTAAAATATGATTTTTTACATTATTTGAAAACCAATAATAAATGGAGAAAATAAGGTTGAAATTTGGAGAAAATAATGATTTTACAGGGGTTAGTTGCTTCAGAAAATATCGTAATATTGAAAGGGGCATGGCATTAATTCATATGCAAGTTTGTTGGGACCACAAAACATTATCGTAATAAAGGGAGTTATTGCTGTATTGGATATCGTAGTAGCGAGAGTTTACCGTATTTAAGAAATAACAAAATCTAGACAAAAGAACTAATGCAATTACCTAAATCTGTTTGAATGTCAAATAAATATTTTCAAATCCCTGAAAAGTGAAAATATTTGGACAGTAATGAGGACCTTTGAAAATAAATCCGGAAAATTTCATGCAGAAATTATTTTTCTTTGGTTCTTAATTTCTAGTAACTAGTCAAATAATTTAGCAGTGCATTCAGCAACCACTGTGTCTATCATGAAAGTAAATTGGGACACTTTTATTAAATTTCAGAAGAAAATAAAGATTTCATTTTGAAAAATTGCTTCAAAATTGAAAAAAAGAGGAGTGTTTTTTTTCCTTAAATTACGAATTTTACTTGGCTTTATTTCTTGCCTTTACATCTATTATAACCTCTTACTTTAATTTCAGAGGAAAATTCGGTTTTCTAGTTGGAAAATAGCTACAAAGTTCAATTAAAAAGTTATTTTTCTAAAATTGTACTTTTTTACTATTTTTTAATCGGAATTTTACTTGATTTTATTTTATTGTTTGCCCCCTCACTAAAATTTCAGAGGGGGCGACTGCCTCCTCTGCCCTCGGCTGGCACGCCACTGTCATCATGAATCTTTTTACCTTAATTACCATAAATTTCGTTAAAAACAACGTAGCGTACGACGCACGAAGAAGAAAATTTAGTCACGGAACGAATTGAACCTGAAACGAAAGATATGGCAGTATCTTATAGAGTGTCTAATAATTCAGCCAGGTACTGTATTACTCCTTGAGCCTTTTTTTTTTACTGTCTCTGCAATTCTGCAGTAAAATAAAAAAACTAAGTAAAGGTGTTGTCTGTAAAATAAAGGAAATATCAAGATATCCAAATAATTTTTTTAGTGATTATAGTGACTGATTTATGTTTGTAAGTTGCTGTTTAATTGCGTCCAGTAACAGATTACACTTCATAGTTTTAATAAATAAACTGGAAAAAAAACTAAGAATGAAAAGGCACTACGACCACAAAAGAAAAATCTCCTGGAAAAGAATTAAGAAAAATTAAACCTTTAATTCAAAACCATAAATTTTCTTTTGCTGATAACCAACTAGTTTTTTTTTGTTGCTGACTAGTGGAAAAACAAGTTACTTCTTTCCAATAATGATTTTTAAGAACTATGTATAAATCTATAACAATAACTGATCCCCCGTGGTGGAATCGCAGCGACATTGTCGCGGAATGTTACAGAGTTCTTGTAGAAAGATTTTTCTTTATAAGAACAAAAAAAATGTACTTTTATTTTCTGCAGGAACTTACGCAGAATATTTAAATCATGCATTTAGATAAGTAATTTTTGACGCAGTCAATTTAGGCCGATAGTATCATAAATTGATGTAATGTTTTGATTGAATTTTTGACAGTTATTGATATTGATTTTCACATGGTTTTTAAATATCCCGATATATTTCAAACAATAAAAATATTAGAATCGTGCATTTGAGTAATTAGTTTTCAAGGCACTGATTCTATCTAATTTTCAGCAGTCATTGCTATTGATTTCCCCATAGTTTTTAAACCTGAAACTTTTTATACGATATCATTTAATACAACCTAATCTGGAAACGAAACATGCATTTGAGGAGTCTGATTTGTGTGATTTCGACTTTGATCTTTTCTACGGCAATTACCACTATGGATTTCAGTATTTTTATTGCGATGATTATTTACAAAATGTGATGAAGGAAATAATTTTTCCGTTCGCCACCAACAAANTATTATTTATTACAACCTAATCTGGAAACGAAACATGCATTTGAGGAGTCTGATTTGTGTGATTTCGACTTTGATCTTTTCTACGGCAATTACCACTATGGATTTCAGTATTTTTACTGCGATGATTATTTACAAAATGTGAAGAAGGAAATAATTTGTGCGTTCGCAAACAACAAAATGTGAGAATATAATAATCCAATGACAATAATCCAATCATAATATTAGAATAAAAAATTATTACATGTTCAATTAAAAAAGTATATATAGGTTTTTTTTGTAAACACAACGTTTTTCTAATTTAAATTAGTAGCAGATATGTCTGTTATTATTAAAAGTGTCTTGCAGATAGATATCAGTGCCAGAAAGTTTTGTTGCAGATGGCTTAAAAAAATTCTGCCACAGGGAACTAATTCACATTCAATTCAAATAGTGTTATAATTATGTGATGCACTTAAAACTTAAGAATGTACATAGCTTACTTAAGAGTATCATCTCCAGCTTGAGAAGCATTGTCTTCAGTGTAAGTTCCAAGTAATTCAATCCTTACTTTGGCAGCCAACTCACTAATAAAATAAACACATTAATTTTTATTTAAATAGTAACTAACTATATAAAACTCTTCATTAGTTATTTTGTTAATGATTGAAGAATATACTCAATACAAAAAAATGGAGAATAAATTTAAATTCAGATAAGTATAAAGCTTAGCTCACCAGACATTATTTACATCAAAGAAAATATACAGTCAAATTCCAAAATAGCAAAAATTTCAATGCAACGAATATTTTAAGAATCCCTAAATGAATCTCTATAGAAACAATGAATTAAAAATACTGATATTACGAAATTGGTAATCCGATTTAACGAAGATGAAAATAAGCAACATTTCTCATTTTCTCTCATGATTAGAGCTGCAGGTCTTGCCGCGAAATTGTCCTCTTTTTTTTCTAAAATCTGCTAATTTCTCAATATGTTTTGATTTTTAAGAAATTGCTTTAAATTAGAAATTTTGTTTTCATTTTTTAATTTATTATNCAACGTTTTTCTAATTTAAATTAGTAGCAGATATGTTTGTTATTATTAAAAGTGTCTTGCAGATAGATATCAGTGCTAGAAAGTTTTGTTGCAGATAGCTTAAAAAAATTCTGCCACAGGGAACTAATTCACATTCAATTCAAATAGTGTTATAATTATGTGATGCACTAAAAACTTAAGAATGTACATAGCTTACTTAAGAGTATCATCTCCAACTTGAGAAGCATTGTCTTCAGTGTAAGTTCCAAGTAATTCAATCCTTACTTTGGCAGCCAACTCACTAATAAAATAAACACATTAATTTTTATTTAAATTGTAACTAACTATATTCAACTCTTCATTAGTTATTTTGTTAATGATTGAAGAATATACTCAATACAAAAAAATGGAGAATAAATTTAAATTCAGATAAGTATAAAGCTTAGCTCACCAGACATTATTTACATCAAAGAAAATATATAGTCAAATTCCAAAATAGCGAAAATTTGAATGCAACAAATATTTTAAGAATACCTAAATGTATCTCTATAGAAACAATGAATTAAAGATACTGATATTACGAAATTGGTAATCCGATTTAACGATGATGAAAATAAGCAACATTTATCATTTTCTCTCATGATTAGAGCTGCAGGTCTTGCCGCAAAACTGTCCTCTTTTTTTTTTCTTCCTAAAATCTGCTAATTTCTCAATATGTTTAGATTTTTAAGAAATTGCTTTAAATTAGAATTTTTGTTTTCATTTTTTAATTTATTATTTTAATTTAACAGAATTTTTTACTTTTCTGAGGCCTCAAAATTACCAGAAAGAGTAAAAAAAAATAAATTATGTGTAATGGAAATGCTCTTGAACGGAAATGCCGCGTTATAATAAAAACATCTGTAAAAAAGAATTTTTCTTAAAAAGAAAAAAAAAAGCTAGATAGAAACAAAAACAAAAAACGTTCTTAATTTTTTTAATGAAAATTTTATGCTGAAAATCTTAATTTAAATGTCTCATATTACCATATTTTTAGAAGAAAAAAATTGTTGTAAAATAGTTCATTAGTAACATTCATTAAAAAAATGCTTGTAAAAGGAAAAGTTAATCAAAAAGAAAGTTAATTAAATTTCCTAAAACAAAACTTTATAATGAAAATCACAGTTCTATGCTACTGGTTATTCATATTACAGCACAGGAAAAAAGTGATAATAAATTAATAGTATGAGACATTCTGTTAAAATGTTGAGTTATAACAAAACCAGCAAAAATGAAAAAAAAAATCCTTCTCAATTTTTAGAATTATAAGTATCGAAAAAATGACGAAATTTACCTATCTGAATACATATATATATTTTAAAAAAAAGCCAAAACTTGTGGTTCAATGTAAACTAATCTAGTTTCAATTCTTCAAATTTAGTTTTTCCATTTGTCTTGTATATGATAAATTTGCTAGCCATGTGCAGAAACATGGATTTTAAAATTTAAGAAATTTGTGTAAAAAATATATCTAATAATAAACAATACTATATAGTTAAAAATACGATTTTATATTATTCTTTATCAGATTTATACAAATTCAAAAAAAAATATACTTTTCTAAAGAATATTCTGCTTAATATTTGGCTAATCTTTCGACCAACTGAATTTTTGACAAAAGGGCCAAATACTCGTTACATCCTTAATATAAATGGATATCCCTAATATATTTTTGGAACCTGAGAAATTCATAAAGAGCGAAAAACATGAATTTTTAAACTGCTCACTGTTTGTAGTTTTGACTTCAATTTTTTGTTGGTTAAGTGATCTTTTTCAATTAAAAAAAAGAAAATGTTTACTATATAAAAAAATCGAATGATCAATAAAAAGAAATAATAAAGTACACTACCAAATAAAAATTAGATTTTATTTTGAACTATAACCGTTTTGTTTTTATTTTAGGCTTTTGTTTAAAACTTATAAAATTTTGTTCAATTAAAGTATTCAAATTGAATTTGTTGAATTCCATGACAACTGAAACCAGCAGTGAATTTTTAAAGTTTGAGCAATATCTTTGTATTTGGTATCATTGTAAAGGAAATCTATTGCAATTTATGAATTTAAATGTTATTCTTTGGAGTTAAGCATGAGTATAGCAAAATTTATCATAAATAGATAGGCTTTATGATTTTGACTTATTTTACCAAAAAAAACTGTCTCCTTTAAAGAAGAATAGGTTATTAAAATATTATGATTTTACATACAGCTTGACTTATATTGTAAAATAAATTGTTCATCAGTCTAATTATGCAGTGATTACTGTTAAAAAAAAATTTCTTATTGCTTAAGTCAAAAATTATCTCAAAAATATGTTTGTCCCCTCTATTACAATTATTCGCTTGAGGTCTTACAATAAAGTCTATAAGTACAAGCATGTTATGTTACATTTTTGAAAAAAAAATTATAAATTTTAAAGTTTCTCCTACAACAGAGAGGACAAAACTAAATGTCCCCTCTGTTACGCAAAATTGATAAGTTGACCATTAAGGAACTCTAGGAATGTAAACAAGTGCTAATGCATCCCGATTCAATTAGTTTAAACCAGTTCCTGCACTATTAGAGCACACTTTTTATACAAAGCTGTGCAATTTTTATTTGACATTGCGCTTAGTTTATAGTTAAAAGTTTATTAAAGTGAGCAATCAGTATGGGGAAAACAGCAGCTTAAAGAATGAGAGAATATAGAACTAGAATGTTCTATATTCTCTCAGATAAATAAAGATATTTGTAAGAAGAAAGATAAAGAATATGAAGCAAATGTTTATGATAACAGAAGTATTTTGAAAAAAAAAATTATAGAAAAATAGATAAATTGAAAAAAAAAATGAAGATAAAGGAAAAATAAAAATGCATTGATATAAGCAGTAGAAATTGAGGAAGAATATTTTCTTTATAGTATTCTTTAGGCATTGGGGAAAGGTATTAAAAAAGCCAACCATGTATTATATGTATCTTCAAGAAAACATTATACTGTTCTCTGCATATTCTGTAACCTTACTACCAAAACAAAAGAAATAGCTTAGTAACCGAGTTTCTGATGAAACAAAAAAGGCTTGTAATAAATTTCTACTCATCTAATAAACTTTCTTACCAGACTTCTGGTAGAGCTGAGTGTATGATTGTCAAAGAAAATGAACAGAAAGTCCACAAAGTCAAATGTGCACCTTGATGGAATTTTATCAAGTATCAAAGCAGTTCCATCCAAACATAAAAATTGGCAAATCTAAGTTTGCTGTACTACGACCTATCCATATTTTATGAGTAGGTAAAACACCATATAAAATGTGTATGTGCTATTCACGAGAATGTGAATTTACTATTAAAATCATAGTTGTTTGCCTATTAACTATATAGAATTACTAAATATAACAACTTGCGACAATCACTCAATTGACTTTTTACTTTATAACCGTCGTGCAATAGATAGTTTCGTAACTGTAAAAAACTCTAAGAAAAAATTTAGTAGTTAATTTTGTTGCCAAAATAACTGAAATTAGGAAAGAAACAAACAAAGCACTTTTTTTTTTAAACACAGTCTAGTAAAATAAAAACTTTCAAATATAACTACAAAGATGCAGCACAGTTTTTAATAATAGCAGTGCTCCAACTCCAACTTTATATAACCGAAGAGTAACACAGTCTGATAAAATAGAAACTTTCAAATATAACTACAAAGATGTAGCACAGTTTTCAATTATGGCAGTGCTGCGAACTTCAACTTTAAATAACCGAAAAGTAACTTATAATAGTGATATTTCATTTTAACTTTTCGTCAAATCTGTTACATTCCAGGTCCTCTCTGTTACGAAAATGTGTTTGCAATTTGAAAAATCTTATAATAATTTATTTTACCTTGAAATGTGATAATTTTAAAAAAAGATACAGATAATGTTTCGGATGGTCTAAATCACAGAATTTAGCATGAATAACAGCGCATGTCAAAAATATGGGATTTCATTTGTCCCCTCTGTTACAAGTACTTTTAATTAACTTGCAATTTAACTATGAGGATCTTTTATTATTTAATGCCAATTAATTAAACATTAAACCCTAAAGTATCATATTCTAGTAGAATTTTTGTTTTCAAAAATATTTAATATATTTTTTAGAATAAAATACTTGTGTGATTTCCCCTCTGTTACGTTTGGAATTCAACATTTATATTACTTAATTATGTACCAAATTTTTTCCTACTTTCATTCTATGAGCATTGCAGTTTTTTTTAATTAGAATTTATTTTTAAAATGAATTTTTGTATTGCAAAATATGATTAAAAAAGCACTTCTTTTCTCCAATGTTTATTTATTTATTATGATAAATATATTTTTGATATGATAAAAATGGCAATTTTTTTAAGAAAAAGTATTAGTTTTTTTATTTTTTGATGAATTTTAATACCTGAACACCTTTAATTTTCTACAAATATTATACTAAGTTTATTGATAAAAAAAAATTCAAACACTAATGCTTAAATAAATATTACTACATTTGCTGTTAACATGTCCAAATACATGTGCAGTCCTTTGTTAGTCAACCTGCTGTGCAAGTGGCTCTTCACTCAAAAAGGTTGTGCGCCTCTAGTTTATACGATCCAAGCTCTAAACAAACAAGTTTTCTACAATTTCAAACAATTTTTCTCCAAAAACTTGGATCAAATCAGCAGGCCTTAAAACCAGGAATGACACAACTATAGAAACAAACTGTACAAGTATGGGTCTATATCCTCCTTCACACTGAATTTGTAACAAAAACTTTTTTTTTAAGATACACCGATACATAAACAGATTCATATACATATCCAAACATATTCAGAGCTTAGCATTAAAATAAAACTTACACTATCAGGCAAACTGCAGCCATTTTTGAGGCAGGTGCTTCTGTAAGCTTTTCACAAAATGTGTGAATAAGTGGTTCAGTCTCACTTTGTAGATCCAATATAAGGAGGGTTTAAGTACATTCTGTATCGGAAAAAAGATTCAGCATTAATAAAATGAATGACAATCAAATTGATCACTGACATAGGCTCAAACTTTAAAGGCTATCAGGAAATAATTTGATAAGTAGAAATACAAGGTTAGCAGAAAAAAATTGGTTTGGACCCACAGGGCTAAAGAGAATAGAAGGGCTAGTTCACTCCGTTCTTAGAACTGAAGCTACGATTTCCCTCTTCATGACGTCACTGTGTCCACAGATCTCGGAAGATCGCACGTAAAGATATTATGATAACTTGGCATCTTTCTCTTTGCAAAAATAAGTTAGACTTTTTCTGGTTATTAGCTTTCAAACTTTACGTAATTAACACATTATTTCCATTCATAAACATAGTTTAAAAAAACTTTCTTGGCCAGTATATTAAAAAAATACCATTTTAAACTTATAAAAATATTTTACTAGTTGGCGAAAATGACACTATAAATACTTTATTTTAAGAAGTTCAGTTTTAACTTTAATTATTAAGAAAAATGAAAGCATATATCGACACTTTTTTTTCTACATATTCTTTTATAACAATAAGTTGAGTTAAATTTAGAATCCCTGATTTTAAAATATGCCGTTAATAGCAATTTGTTCATACTTAATCATTAGGAAACATCAACCTTAAACGCTAATTACTGAAACAAAATAATAATTTAGGTTCATAATGACATTAGAAATTTTACAATTGTTTATAGACATTTAAATTTACGATGATATAATTTATAGATATTTAAATTGAAGAGAATATAATTTTTAAAAAAAATCATAAATATTTAGAATAACTACATTAAAAAATATGTTATGAAATTAGGAGAATTTCAACTATATACTATATATTTTATTTATACTTTTTACTTACATTTTAATTTTCTTTGACTTTATCTATTTTTTAATTCTTTTCACCTGCCTTTCTTTATGAAGTAACGAGGCGGTTTCTATTTAGATAATGAATTTTTATAAAAGTTCTTTACGACAGAATAAACGTATTGCTGTTTTATATTAACTGTGTCATTTCGGAATCCATTCTTTACATAGTTGTTCATTTACTTTAGGGAACATGCGGAAAATTATATTTTTTTCCCTTTGTTTCTCTATTAAAATTTTTTCAAGTTGCAATCGCGCAAACTGGCATTTCAATAATAGATTTAAATTCTTGCAAATTCGCTGCAAAAACTGAGGAAAGTCATTATAGAAAATAACAAACGTCTTAGAATATGTCGCAAAAAGAAATACTCCAATATTAGTTAGAGCTAGTAAGACCCAAAGCTCCGTTCTTGAAGTAAAAGTGCGAGCTTTGCGCCAAAGTGACGTCACTAGAGAAAATCGGAGGATTGGCGCGGCGAGAGCTACTTCAAAGGAGTGAACCAGCCCTTCTATTCTCTTTAGCCCTGTTGGACCCATTGTTTTTTATCTGGAAAATTTCTTCAAAAATATTTTCTTAATTTACCATAATTAAAGCTATATTATGTTCATTAATTGTCATATGTAAATACTACTTAAATGTTATGTGTGTATACTTCATGATTAAACGTAGAAGGCAACATTAATCTTTCGTCCAAACAATTGTAAGTGCTGACAGAAGATCAAGAATTTTTATTATTCTATTCAATGCAAAATTATGCTTAAGAGGATGTCATACCAGGGCTCGAGAAAACTCAGAAATTTTACTCGTCCCCGAGGACGGCTTGTCCAACAATGTACCCGTCCTCCTTTGAAACTAACCCGTAGCTTCTAAATAAATAAAAATATAATTTTCTCTCATTTACTACAAGCATTTACATAAATTGCACAATGAATTAGTAGTTACTAGGAGCACAAATACTAGGATTAGATTATTCAGCAATAAAAGAATTAACGGGATTTCTAGATTAGAGGATCATTTAAGAAGTGAAGCGCTAGACTCTAAAAAGAAAACAAAAACTAAAAATGTATCACGAACATTAGCGGAAAAATGGCCATCCGCGCGGACGTCGGATTTGAGAAATTTGCTGTCCGCGAGGAATTTTTGACCGCCAAGGACGGGAGGACGGGTGATTTTTCGAGCCCTGTGTCATACCACATGGGAAACTGTTCGTTGCAAATTCTCTTTCCCCTTAATAACTAATTTAAATTAAAGAAAACGTGAGTTCAGACAAACCTAGAATAAGTAATAAGGTTTCAAATGCTGGTAATAAAGTATTAAAAGTATCAAAATGAAAATAAATTATGAGAAGATAACTTCTGATTACGCAATGGTTACTTCCAATAATTTGTTCGCGTTTTTAAATTTAGAAGAAAAAAATGTCAGTGATTTAAACTTGATAACTTACTCTAGGTTTGTCTGAACTCAATGCTTCTACACTTTGAATTAGTTATGGAGATGAAAGAGAACTTTCAATGATAAGTTTCCTTAAGGGTATGGAATTCTCTTAAGTCATTTTTCAAAACAAAACATAAATGCAGGAAAAATGTTTATACCCAAAGTAATAAGTGTAATGTTAATGAAAAGAGAAAATCTGGCATTTCATGCAAACTAAATTTGTTTCTGAATTTAAAATGTTTCAAATAAGGGATGTGTAAATTTTTATTCATTAATGTAATGGTTCCAATTTCAGTTTCTAAAAACTTTTTACTAACTTCCATTGTAAATGTTTATACCCAAAGTAATAAGTGTAATGTTAATGAAAAGAGAAAATCTGGCATTCCATGCAAACTAAATTTGTTTCTGAATTTAAAATGCTTCAAATAAGGGATGTGTAAGTTTTTATTCATTAATGTAATGGTTCCAATTTCAGTTTCTAAAAACTTTTTACTAACTTCCATTGGTTCAGTGGCTAATCGTAGAAACTATTTAATAGAATTAGTGAGTTCAATGAAACTAATACTAATCGTTTATTTTTACACTACAGTATTTTTTAATACTTATGCCACATTCATGATTTTTTTTAAAGCTTCATATTGCTTTAAAAAAAATAATATTATCCATAAAAAAAATTTTTTTTAAAACAGATGGGACTAAAATTAATGTTAATGTATCATAAACATTATAAAAAGAGGAAAATAATAATTCATAGAAAGTGAAAATAATGAGATGCAATCGTAATGATAATTATAAACGGAATCTTTTCACTTCAATAAGAAAAAATACTTTTAAGAATACATTTTAAATTAGAATTTAATTTGAGACTATTTTAATAATTCTTTAAAGAAAACACTATCACATAATAATTTGTTATTTCAGAAAAATAAAACCATGTGTGGACCGTGGTTTCATTTTTTACTCTTAGTTATATGTTTATGTCATAATTAGTGTCATTAGTTAGTTTATGTCATTAGTTAGTTATATGTCATAATATGTTTAGGCATTAACCTTGAAGGTGGCTTTATGATTTTAAAGAGTGTAGAGCTCTTGGAATTTCGTCTGTTATTTTCATTGTCTAGGTATCTGCATCTTCCTTATTAAATGTGAACCTCTGGTACTTGTTTTTCTTATATGTGGACCTGCAATGAAAAAATCAGGTAGACTCATTAAGATATATTTAGAGCTGGCAGCAATTGTTCTTTAAAGAAAACTCCCAATTAACAGCAACTTTACCAGCTCCATGAATTTGCAACAGCCAATCACATCTTCTAAATCAGTCAGAAATCCTTCATCTGAATTCTATCAAATAGCTACGGCGATCCTGACACTAAAGAATAAAATTATAAATCTCAATAATGGGCAGAAAAAGAGACAAACTTTTTATTCAGTAATATGTTTCTACTCTTAGAGTTGTTTCCTAAAACTGATCTTTTTGGAATCAAGAGCTTTTTCAATAGCTGAAACACTCAAATAACATTTGGAATTATATGGTTCAGTTTAGATTTTAATAACCAAATTTACCATAACATGATAAAAAGTAGGTTCTTAGTGGTTAAAAAAGATGGAACTAATCAAAACCTGTTAAAAATTGGCAACCCATAATTTATTTGCATGTTTACTACTTATAGCTGATACAATTAAATAATATATATACTTTACAGTTAATACTTGGCAGTAATGGATAATATATAATTCAAAATGCAATTAAGGACTAAGGATGTACTTAAATATGTTCATTAAAAATATTATTTTAAACATGTTTGTGACTAGAATTATTCTCTTACTATGCTATCATAAACTCAGTTTAATAAATACTTAAAATAATAAAAGCATTTTATTTTAATAATAACCAAAACTGCTATTATTTTTTGTTTAGTACCTTATCCTGCAGCTTATTACAGAAAATTATTAATTTTTGTAGTTGTTGTTCCTACCTGAAAATAGCAAATTTGTAGGGAATAACCTATGTACTATATTAAAGCAACTAATCATTAGACGCATGATTATAAAACTAATTGCTTACAAAAGAAAAAGCAGACAATTTTGTTCACTGCTGACAAAAATTTACTAGCACCAAACAGGCATCAATATAAAAATATCCTTAAGTAATTCTATACCAATATTTTGTCCTGAAATTAGATCCATTACAACATTTTTTTGTTTTAAAACCCAGTTTTTTTTTAAAAAAATTAATTTTAATACTTTATGCTCTTAATTTTAATGAATTAACGCAAAGTTTAGTAAAAATATATAGTTTTATAAAATTTTTTGACAGACCTCTCAAAAGATATGAGTGTCATTTGACTTGTAACTATATCATTTAGGTACTATAAAAAAATAATAGTTAGGTTCGTTACAATTGTTCCTAACGACTCACATCACATTTCTTCAACTTTAATATGAAATCAAATTAATATTACAATTTTATTTCATATTAAAGTCGAATGAATTAATAAAAATCACTCAGATACCATAATTAAAAGAAATATGAGAAAAACAGTTCCATGCCCAAATGCTGATTACAGAATACAAAATAAATTAAACTCAACCTGCTCTTCATCAGTTGAATCATTAAAAATAGGAGCACTCATCCTAATTCGGAATTATATTTATTAGAAAAGTTAATGTCCTATATTTATTTCAGAAAGACTAAATAACTAGAATCTTGAATCAGAAAGAGATCAAATTTTTTGTTTTGCTAAGATACTTAATGCTGCATATATCTGTGCAATTTAAAACAAGCTTTTAGCTTTCAAAGCTTTGTGGTAGTAGCTACAAAGGTGACGTAGGTACTTTATTTACATCGCACTAGAGCTGCACGATGTGCTATTGGTAATGGTCTGGGAAACATCCCTGAGGATGATACGAAGACATGCCATCTCAATTCTAATCCTCTGCTAAGGGGATGGCTAGCCTGCTTTGGTAGACAGACGACCTGCGGGCGAAGCCGAATACTTTACCGCACAACAGTTTTACGAGGACCGATACCGCTCACCCTCAGTCCCTACTCAGACTTATCGAAGTGGTGATCCACCCGCTTGCTGGCCACAGCCAGTTTTACTTGACTTCGGTGTTCTACTGGGAACCGTGCCTTTACTATCAGTTCACTGCGGAATGCAGGTGGCGTAGAGCAGAACTCTTTACCTATGGCAACTCATGCTTTCGCCAATAGCGTGTGGAGAGTCGCGACATTCAATATTACATTATAAAGCGTTCTTTCAATTTATATTTCAACGAAGCAAACAACAAAACTCCACTAGCAAGCTATGATGCAATTAAGAAATTGAAAATATAACATTATAGTGATATTGTACACTTCTTTTTCTTTGTCTGCGTGACAGCCCCTTACAGGCCTTGTCTGTCGCAGCAGTTGACAAAAGCCAGCGACTCATATCCCCGACAACCTCCCTTCGGAATTTTAATCTTTAGAGTTTTCAGGTCATTTTCGATGTCGTTGAGGATACTGTGCACTAATATAGCAAAATAAGGTATAACATTCAAAACATGGAAAACCCTCTCCTTTATTTATGTTGTGATATTATTGTTCTTAAATTTGTTTCAGTTAAAACAGTGGTAAAGTAAAGAGTTCCCGCAACAGCCCGTATTGGGTTATGGGGAATAAGACTGCACCAATTCGTGACCAATGGCATGATTGTAGCAATGTGGTTAGTACTGTGCACAAGCCCCCTTTACTTTACACACCATGCGATACCCCATCTATATCAGGCTGAGTAGGCTTCATACCGCCTCTGGAAATCGAACTCCAGCTTTTCTCAATGACAGCTTATTGCGTTAACCACTGAGCCATTACGACTCAAAACAGTGTTAGGAGAATTTCGATAACTTTCACCGGTTTCAGCTGTTCTAAGCCAGTCCACTCTAAATTTAAAAATCAAAAATCAGAAGACACTCCCGCCAGACTTAACTGTCAACTTTAAAATTACCTCCGAGCTCCGATCGGGGAGCTTTCCATAAGATAGTAATAGTGGATAGATATAAAATAAGACCGGGATAGCTTGGTATGTAGGGCGCTGGACTTACGTTTATGAAAAGGGAAGTTCGAATTCAGCAGGGAGTAGACTTCAGTGTAGTAAATGGTGACTGATGCACGCTAAATCTGATGGGTCACAAAGTCCTCGATGTTCCCATAAAAATCAATACTGGTGGCGCTGAATTGGAGATTTATCGTTCTCCGGTTCAGGACAAAATTAAGATCTGTGGATGAATGTATGAATGAGTCCGCCTTATTAACGAGTATGGCAGATGTCATATTCTTGGCCATGGGTGGCGCCTCTGGAAAACAAGAATAACCGCATCCCCTCTGCCTTAATATCCGACAACAACAACAATATATATTATGTAAAATATTCATCTATCAATACTAATAGATAAATATTTAATAATAGTTGCATTGATAAAATTGACGACCTCTCCCAGATCGCGCACCTTTCTTTTTCTATAGAAGTATTTGAAACAAAACGCTCTAGCGGAAAAGATTAGGATCATGGATAAGAGAACATGGAGGACTTTGTATTTACTACACGGGGAGTCTTCGGCTGTCTAGATTTGAGCTCCCGTCCTCACGAACGTGGGTCCAGCGCCCTGCCAACCAGGCTCACTTATCGTTGCCGGTAATGTAAAAAAAATGCATGGGAAGATTCTGTCAAAATTATAGAAATTTTTTACAATGTGCTAATTGCAAAGACAAAGAACCTTTTTAAACAATTAATAAATACATTAAATGATTTATTGAATTTCATAAACAAGAAACACACTCTCATCATGCTCTTAAAATCTTTCCAGTTTCACGAAAAAATACGCTCCTATAAAGCTGTTAAAACCCGTGTATAGGTTTCATAACTTTAAAAGAAGCTCATTTGATAGTATTTAAATATATAATGAGTCCATTCACGTTTATAATTAAAAAGCACGTATGAATGTAATAAGTAAGCGGTAAGTATAAATTGAATTTTCTTCACTAAGTGTTGTTTTTTAACTCTTTAGTTTCATAATTTCAATTTTGAACCAGTCAGGTTATATATTTTCTAAATCTTTGGTCTAACTGAGAGAGTTTTCGTGGTTTTCTTGGCCTAGTAATAATGTGTAATGTTTCACTGAAATAGCTTCTCATTGATGAGAAATCGCACCTCCGAAAGGTTTCTAATTTTCTGTATCGGGTTTAAATTAAAAGAATACAGAATTTTCATTAAAATCGAAAATCCGCCATCTTCCTTTCAGTTTCCTATTCAATGCTGGTATAAGAAAACAAATTCAGCTCTGCGTTTTAAATTTTAGAACATCGCTTTAAGTGACAATTTATTTTATATCATGTAAAATTTATGAAGACTTAAACTCCAGATCATTTAGTTTATCTGGTGATTGTTTTAAAAGTTTCATTTTAAATGTTCGATTTTTTTTTTAAAAAAAAGATAAAATTGATGAAACTCAAAAATATTTTTATTTTTTTATACTTTTTGCTTTAACAGAATATTTTTTTAGATGAATGAATTTTATTTGACGCATTTCCTACTATGAATGTATGAATGAGTCCGTCTTATTATCGAGTATAGCAGATGACAAATTCTTGGCCATAGGTGGCGCCACTGGAAAACAAGAATAATCGCACCCACTCTGAAGTCGAAAAAGAGCAAATAAACTGATTTTCCTGGATTTTTCCAGTTTTTTCCTATTTCCCCCCAAAATAATTCTCAATGTTATCTCAATGTTATCAATGTTATATTATTCTCAATGTAAAAATGTTATTTCCTACATGCAAGACCCTCCAGAAAATCGAAAAACACATGAACAAAAATATTATAATTTAAAATAAACAACAAAAAAAGAAAATTTTTTGAAAAAGTGTCCGTCCCTGGGATTCGAACCCAGGACCCCTCCCTCCAGCAACGAACTTGCTTGTCTGGTGGCCTACCATCCAGTCCACGGTGATACGCGCAGCCTATCACAGTTTCGCTTCAAAAGCTCTCTCCTCCCATCTTCGCAGTACACCTTTAGGGCCACCGAGACCCCCTAATTGGACTATAAAAATTAGAAAATTAAATCTCGAAATTTGAACCTTACTCGCGCCGTTTTATTTTTTTATTCTTTTTTTCTTTGTTAAATTTCACGCACAGAAAACACCCCATGCATGCTAGAATATCCAAAATGTTACAAAAGGAGTCGAAAAAGAGCAAATAAACTGATTTTCCTGGATCTTTCCAGTTTTTCCCATTTTCCAAATAAAAAAAAATTATCTCTTACATGCAAAACCCTTCAGAATATCGAAAAATACATTAAAAAAATAATATAATATGCTGGCAGAGTTCAGTGCGTTGTGGAAAATGCTTAGCAAGCATAATGAAAAAGTCATCTTTTAACTAATCAGAAATTTACTTAAGCAAGTAAAATCATAACTTAACTTAAACATCATAAAGGAAAACAATCCTCTCCATAACATGAGGTAACGAATTCAATAACATACAGTCATGAAAATGAAACGAAACAAAAAAACTCCAAATCCAATCTTGATTTGTTATATATATACAAAATAACAGTTGCATAATGAGGGTACTTACACACTCAAAATTAATACTATGCAAATTCTGTCTTTAAACTATTTTTAAATGTTCGAACTCTCTCCTTCAGAGGTTTTTCAAACTCGTGATTTCTGACTCTTACTCGATCCTTGTTCATCAAAATTCATAGTCTGACATAATTTAAATTTTTTTTAAAGGTGTCCTTCCCTGGGATTCGAACCCAGGACCCCTCCCTCCAGCAGCGAACTTGCTTGTCTGGTGGCCTACCATCCAGTCCACAGTTTGAACCCCTCCCCCCTAGCTCCAATCGTAGGTCACCAGCACATGGTCTTAGCAGTTGGACCACGCTTATACGGGGTTCGTGCTACTACATAGCTTTAATTACCCTCTCCCGGTTAGCTAAACAAAAGACGTAAGGGGTCACTGCGACCTCCCTAATATATCTATAAAAATTTACTTTAGTAGGGTGGTATGGTTCATAGAGGCCTACTTTCGGCCCGAGTGCTTAACTGTCGTGAAAATATCGTAAAACGAGTTTAAAAAAATAATATAATTTAAGCAAACTAATTTTCCGGGTTTTTTCTAGTTTTCAAGCATTATTTAAATTTTCCCCGAGCAAAAAAAAAATATTTTTTATACATAGGTATCCTTTAATACATCGAAAAAATCGAAAAACACGTTAAATAAATAATATAATGTAAAATAAACAAAACAAAAAAAAATTTAAAAATTAACCACAGCCGAGGTTCGAACCCGTCCCTACTCGCTCCAATCGAAAGTCATTAGCACATGATCTTAGCTTAAAAAAGAAAAAAATAATAGTTTTAAGAAAAACAATATTTTATTAAGGTTACTATATTTTATTTAAGTTACAATCGTTAAAAATGAATAGCAAGTAAGAACCAAAATTTATCTAAAGGAAAAGCAGAAGAACTTAAAAAACGACCCAGAACATTACAAATCGAAACAGAAGGCGCCCAACATTTGAAGTACATTTTCTCAATAAATTTTTTCCTTTCTATTATTAACAAAATTGCAACCGATAATTCTGATTTCGTGAACTGTTACAGATATGTGTATTACGGTAGCATACATTTTTTTTCAATTCATTACAAAATAAATTGAAGTCAGCATTGCTTATGCTTCATTAAAATGAATAAACGTGATTTATGAACGCGCAGAACAATTATAGAATACTCTTCT